CCTAAACTCGTCATCCTTTTAGCACATATATATCTACGCCTTATGTCCCAGACATATAATATCTCATTTGATTCCAGTCATTTTACAACCAACAGAATCAGTGCTACGGGAGTCAGATGAGTAATAAAGCAGGATGGCATTTATCTCATCTTCACAGATCTTATCATCTAGGGTGTTTTTAATCACTCATGAGCACAGGATACTAACATACCAAAATGGGGATAAAGATTAAGATGAAAATGAAATGCAAAGTAAATGTCACATTAACATAGTCACTTTTGTGCAAAGACACTACAGAAATCAATGCTTAAACGTGCGTTTAAATCTGTGGCTGCAGCAATGATCATTGAAGTATCTCAGACAGACATTATCTTTCCTTGAAATTATAACTTTTTTCTAATTCAAGTGGTTAAGCATTAGTTTTCAAAATTTGTTATGCTTCTTCTTTGAGAAATATGCCTAAAAAGAGATATATCTTTTAAGCTTGTCGGTAGGTCCTTTAAAGGTTAAATGACTATGGCAAAATATGTTGCAGAATGTCCTTGAAAAATGTGTTCAACAAAAGGATGACAAAAAAGTCTAAAAGTTTGGAAGATATCTATAAATAATGTTTCAAAAGTTCCAAAGTGAATCATAAATCATTCCTATGTGGCTTAACAAACCATAAAGGCAAAAGATTAGCCAATATACTGAAAAAGAAGAGGGCAAATTAAGGGTGTTGGACAGAAAACTAGAAAATGTTTAAAAGGCAGCCATATCTTTTTAACCATTTTGACCATCATAAAATGGTGGGAAGAGTCAATAATGACTGCTAATACCTGACAACTTTTCAAAAAAGTGTAAGATTAAATGTAATATATTTGTGAGGGTTTTTATCTCTTTAACTGTACAAATCAAACTATTTTCTGTCCCCTTTTCCACTAAATACAGTTTGTATACAGCCACAGTACCTATTTAATGCTTCAGATTAGTTAGCTTATGATGTTTTACATTGTACAGAGGGACAGATAAAGAAACCTAAGTTGAAAAGAAAATCCATATTTGAAAAATGTAGGAACACATTTAATATTCATATTTATGTTTTAAAACAAATGAAATTTTAAATATTTCAAAAATAGAGAAGAGATTTTCAGAGATGAATGTTTCTTCTTATCAAGGGAGAAGATGTGAAGAAACATTTGGTTTTTGGTCTGAGTGATTTCTTGGGCTATTAATTTATTTTATGATACTGCATTAAATAAATAGGAAGCCTGTGATAATATGTAATTTTATTACTTTCATATAAAAAGGAAAATCCTCAGTTTAGTATGAGCCACTGTAATCCAAAAGAGCCATAAGTGGTTTGGCAGGCTGCAGACCCCTGGATTTAGCCATGTGTACTACATAACAACCAAATAGGAAATAGTCAGGAACCATCTCAAGGTGGAAAGAGAACACAGAACAACATCTTAAGCACTGTGACCGAAGTCAGTGTACAAGAAATTTCCTGGGTTAGATGGTATTGATGGAAGAGTTAAAGACAAAAAAACAAATATGACATTTTTTTGGAAGGTGATTTTTGACACAAAACTAATTTTAACTACAATTGCGAGCAATTATGTATGAATGGGTTCCAAGCCCATCCCAGCTATTTGTCCCCTGCCCCTAAAATGTGAAACTCTATTTTGATGAGTAGAACCAAAGAAAGACTGGACATATGAAAATTCATTAGGAATTCATATTTATGGATGAAATACCCAAAAAGCTTTTTGACACTGTGCAGTGTGCACACATATATAAAACACTGTTCATCAGAGATGGGGACTCGAGTTTGTGACTCGTACTCGAGTCGCACTTAAGTCGCAAATTTAATGACTTTAGACTCGACTTAGACTTGCATTTGAAGGACTTCAGACTCGTCTGAGACTCGTGATTTCTGACTTGTGAACTATATTTTATTTTTAAGGTTTTTTTGTTTTACTAACTTGACTGATCGCCGCTTGCCTTACCAGCACACAGCAGAGGTAAAAAAAAATAAATAAATAAAAAAAAAAACGGCAGAGGAGCTGTCAAACTGTCATGTAGCACTGACGTCACTGACGCAACGCTACGTGACATATATGCCCGCGCGCCCATGTGCATGCATGCATGATCGACAAGCTAAGCTTTAAAAACTTCATGGCAGTCGTAGAGGAGAAATATGTTGTGAATAATGTTGTGAATTGGCATTAAATAAATAAACTGATTTGAATTTAAAATACTGCCCTCCAAGTCGGTTCTGTCTGCTCCAGGGCATTAAGTTACAAAAAGTTATTGCCACAATGTTTCTTTCATGAAATAATTGTTATTGTCCCGGTATTTTAGGGTTTTTCTTTATCTGTTGTAGTTGCTAACTTCATATGTATTAATAAAAAGCAGGATTGTGATTGTTTTTTTTCCCCACAGCCCTCATTTTCACTTAAAAATAAAAGAGCAGACATTTACTCCTAAAACTAGAAAAAGTTGTAACCACAAGTGTCAGGTAAATACTTTAAGAAAATTGTTGTTTTGAAAGAAGAAAATAAAGATGCAAAATTTAACTGGAAAAAAAATAGCGTGTGTGCTTTTTTTAATTGTATTTTTCATTTACCAGTTCAAGATAATGATCATTCCAAAGATATAGTAACCTTTAAGCTATACCGTCTCAGTGACGGAGATGAAAACACAAGGAGAAACAAGCAAGCACGCAAATTATTGCACTTATTTTAATTAATCGCGTGATTAGAATTTATTGTGCGATTAATTGATAATTGTGACAGGCCTTCTCAAGACTTGGGACTTGACTTGGACTTGAGCTCTTAAGACTTGAGACTTGACTTGGACTTGCAAAAAATGACTTATGAACATGTCTGCTGTTCATGGAAAGTGAGATCGTTTGGACCCAATCAGCCGAACATTAAAATGAATGTCCAAAGACAGAGGGAGACGGTACAATCGGTCTTTTTCCAGGAACCTGCTTTAGCTACAAGGCTTGGCTAACTGCATGCAGTGAGGCTAAGGCTTTATTCTGCTTTCCCTGCCTCCTTTTTCAAACATCAGGACCTGAGCCAGCAAAGATAAAGGCAGGTAGGACTGATTTAAAGCACTTTTTAGAAAAGGCAAAGAAGAATGAACAAACAGGGATTTACATGGAAAATAATATAATATAATCTACTTTTTATAGGTGTTTGTTAATTGGAAATAGTTGCTCTTAAATAAACACATTCTCAGAAAAGAAATAGGTTTTATATATAAAAAAATATAAAGCTGACTAATAGCTTCTCCATTTTTAAACTGGTAGATTATTTATATTAGGTTTTGTGACACCATATTGGACCATGCAAAACACAGATTTTCCTTTGAAAAGCCTCGGATCATTGCTACAATGCTGCAGGCAGACACACTCCAGGACCGCAGCCAGTTCCCTGAAGCTGCACTCAACACCACCATGGAGCCCACCCACTGCTCAACAAGAACAAACTGAAAACTGAGCAGGTTCTCATCTACAGCAATGATGAGTTCAAGAGCTGGAGCTGTGGCTCTGTACCAGCACTTCATAGGGAACAATCTTCAGCACACCCTCTAAGAGACTGTGGCTCTGCTGAAGATCCTCATCAAAAGTCTCACAGCTGAATCTGAGAGGTGCTTCTCAACACTGCAGAGGGTCAAGACCTTGCTCAGGACCATCATGTCACAGGATCGTCTCAATGACCTGAACATGCTCTCTATGGAGAAGCACCTAATCAAACCCACCCCTGACTTCGACCAGAGTCATTGAGAAATTTGGTTCTAAAGGACAAGATAGGCTCTGTGTATGCACCCTGATGCTCTATCTCTCCGGTTCTTTTCTCTGAAAAGAGATCACTCGGGACAAACTCTTTAGATATCATTTCATAACTTATATTTATTTAATAACCAGGAGACATAACAACAGCTTTTGATAGAAATTGTAATCACTCTGATCAGAGAAATTGCTTAGGGTTGCTGAATGGTAGCTGCTTACCTCTGGGCTCACCTCTAAGGAAGTGGCCCCGATTAATGGTTGAAAAAGGCAATTTATACATCCCCACTCTGCCACATCATCACATTTTACATCATACACCTTAGCTGATGATTAGACATCCATGGCTCCAGTCTTATCAAGATAGGACATCCATCTCATTCCATTTCCAAATCTTCTCCATGTACAAAATGAAGATTTTAACTGTATATCCAGACAGAGGAATTGTCCTAATTAGATTAAAATGTCAGTTCTGATGAGCAACAGGCAGCCCATACCAGGGTGTGATAAACTCACTCATCTTCAATGATAATTATCCTAACAGACAGAAGGGCAAAATTTATCTGCAAAAAAAGGTGAAACTACCTGAAATTGTGTTTTTGTTTTTATTAAGTGTTTTTATAATGTTGTTTTTTTTTTTTTTGTCATTTATATAAATATACTGGTGTGATAACTTATTATACGTTTATTTGTTATAGGTATAAGTCTATTTTGAATTTATAGCCCCCCCCCCCTGGAGAAACATTTTTTCCAGGAGTATGGAGCAAACCATGACTTCTTCAGCTGCAGTGAAATGTTTTTAGGTTACATAAAATAACTTGGTCAGAAATGTGGATATTTTCTTTATAAAGATAAGTGAAAGAAACAAAATAAAAGACAGCAGTGAAAGGCAAACATTTCATCTACATGCATATCTGATTTTTTTTAATCCTCTAAAGGATTTAAATTCTCACTCCCTGCAAAGTCTCCAGGGTTAAACAGCGACATTTGACTTTTAAAACAGGGATGCCTGCAGACAAACAGGTTCTTGAGGTGCAAATCAATATGGGCAGAGCAGCAGTCAGTCAGCTGCAGCCCACCTGGACCAGGCGCAGAGGGGGCTCCGTGCGTTTAAAACATCTGCGTTGCAGCGCAGCATCACTCAACTTGTTGCTGCAGCTTCAGCATCACCTCCAACTCCGCGTCTCACATCACTTTTTCTTTCATATTTAAGAGTGGAACCATGCGAGCCGCGTGTGTTTGGTCATTTGTTGCTGTCTGGGTGGTCGGCTCCCAGCGGGCAGCAACGCGTAACGACTCCTCTCTTCTTGGAGAGGCGATGGTGCCGCGCACGGAGAGTTTACTGAATGTTTCTGCGGATTCGGGGAACCGGACTTCGGGATTTTTCCTCTTGGATTTCGATGATGGGATGCTGGAGGAATGGCGCTCATTGGCGAATAGGAAGAGCAGCGGGAAAGAGTCGCAGGAGTGCGGAGTCAAGGTGCTGCTGGTGGCCGCCTACTCGCTCATCATCGTGGTGTCCCTGTTCGGGAACACGCTGGTGTGCCATGTGGTGGCCAAAAACAAGCGCACCCAGTCCTCCACCAGCTTGTTCATCCTGAACCTGGCAGTTGCTGATATTTTCATCACAGTGCTCAATACCCCATTTACTCTGGTAAGAACTTTACTGGACACTAACCAATCTCTATATGGGGCCCCATTCAATAAAGGGGCCAAATTCTCATAACTAACCAGCAACCAAAGAAAGGCTGCTATTTTATTGTGTAGATGACAAAAAATAGAATTACTTGGAAAGAAAAACAAACATAAAACAAGCTAATGTAGCAGCAAAAGTTTGATTTTGGTAGATTTTTTTAAGCAGAAATAATGTTATTTGAATAGAACAATTTATTGGTCTAAAATGAGTTACATATTTATCACAATTTGCATTTACTTCATACAATTTCAGCATCTGTTTCAGGTGCAAGAACCTTGCCAATCAGCTTGTTTTGTAGGCTGTTGTTTTAAAATTGAATAATTAAAAAAAAAGAGCTGGATCTGTTTCTAAAAAGCCAAATATGTCCCTTTATGAGTAAAGAACTGAACCTACTGTTAATTTGTTAACTGATGGTTTACAGAAACTGGCGGTGGTGGGGCAATGCTGCATTACTGTAGGATCCCTACAGTTTAAAATAAAACATCCTGTTATCCAGACACGTTTCACAAACTGGTGTACAGTCCTATTTAACATATTAAGACACCATTAAAGTTCATTTATTTCAGAAACTCAGGGTAATTAGTGGTTTATTAGATAGGAATAAATGCAAAAACTGATGTTTTTAAGGCTTTTTTTTTTGTTTTTGCTTACAGGGTGGTGATAAATACAGAAATGCGTTCAATCAAATGCTAAATAAATAGTAAATTTTATACCTTCTTAACGGATAAGCATCATTGCAATTTACTGAATATGACCGCATATGCTAAGGTATGGTTTTGCACAATAGTACATGGCATCAGCGGTGCCTTCACAGGCTATTTGTTTCTCTCTGTGACTCTTCCATCACAGATGAGAAACATAAATGCTAAATTCGGAGATTAGTTCTGTCATATGAGCTTATTGAATGTTTAACCACTTTAAGCTGAGCTCCCAGGTGTGTTTGTGTTTTCTTAGGTCCGATTTGTGCACAGCACCTGGGTGTTTGGGAGGACAATGTGCCACATCAGTCGATTTGTACAATACTGCTCTCTGCACGTATCCACTTTGACGCTCACCGCCATTGCTCTGGACAGAAGACAGGTCAGCCCATACATGTGCCAAAGGGTGTTTACCATTTCTCCTCTGCAGAGCTCCAAGCTTTCCTAATCTAATCAAATACCTCTCTTCTAACCTCTTGTACTATCCCCTGTTCTACTCCTTGCCTTGCATCTAAGTCTCTATACAAGCAAGGATCAGTAAGAAAGAGCATAAACACTTTTGATTTAATTGCATACAAGGGGGATTTTTAGTTCTGACCCTCTGCTTAATTTGAACTTACTTCAGAAGAAATGTATGCTACTGACAATGTGACTTAATTCTGAATCCATCTGTTATTAGTTCTGCAGATCAAAAACACTTCTCTCTTGACTCCACCAGCTTGCCCCCTCTCCTCTCCAAACCTCTAGACACATCTTACGGATGACACTTCTTTTATAATAACACACTGTAATTGATTCTATATTACAGGCTGGAGAAAAGAGGAGATGAGGTGACATAAAAACAGCAACCTGAAAGGAGCTCATTCATGTAGCTTCATAACACTTTGGTAAAATCTGAGATGTAAGAGCTCTAATTATTTGAATTATGCTTTGTCTCAGTTGTACCAGGTGGAATTTGAATACCCCCCTTACAATTGATATTGGATGTAAAAATCAATAAAAATTGAAATATTTTGTCTTTACAGATGCTTTTTAAAATAGTATTCTAAGCAGATTATTTTTATACCATTATGCTACCATTATGCTTTTGGTATCCAGTTTTGTGTTAAATGACTAATGCACACTGCAAGCAGCAGAAGCAACAGAAGCAGCTAGTTTACATGCAAAGTCAATGCGTGATGCGCATCTTGGCTCAGCAAAAGGTCGCAGCGTGTCATGAGCTTCTGAGCATCTGACACACGCAATGTGAATGCAGCAGCTGCTGGAGTTGGAAAACTGTAACTTTTGCTGCTTGACACACCACATCGACAGTGGCGACAGTGGCGTTGGATGTAGGAGTTTGCCCTGAATTCGAAGGATTGATGGTTCAAGCCCCGACTCCGACTCTCAGTGTCGTTGTGTCCTTGGGCAGGAGACCTGCATTGTCTACTGATGGTGGTCAGAGGGCCCTTTGGCGAGAGGGTACGGCAGCCCCACTTCTGTCAGTGAGCCCCAGGACAGCTGTGGCTACAATGTAGCTTGCCACCGTGAGTGTGTGTGTGAATGGATGAATGAATGTAGTGTAAAGCGCTTTGGTCAAGTCTCCTGACTTGAATAAAGGCACTATATAAGTACATGCCATTTACCATTTACATCAACCAATCAGAGAAGCTGATCTGGGAGCTGGCAGAGCACTGCTGACGCAGATCACTATGATCACTCCTGTGAAACAGTTTATTAATGCCTTAATTAACTCAAAATGTTGGAAACCTGCTTAGCAGCTTGGTTCGAACTTGTAATGGAACGGTTTCAGAGGGTAGTGTAAATGGGGCATATGCATATGAATGGCCACTGTAATACGAATGTGTGCACACAAAGTTCATATTAAAATCCAATACATTGGTGGCAGTCTCAAGACTGCTTTAAAAATAAAAAGGAGAGATCTCTATAAATAGATATGTTTGTTTTCAAGTGAATGTAATGTAACATTAAATTGACACAAGTTGCAAATAGACAAACTATAGATGTAGGTTTTTATGGCTGAACTGGAACAGATGGATGTGGATGACTACATGGATTCAAACACGGATCAAAGAGAGGACTGAAAAGAGAAAGGTTACATTAATAGCCAAAGCTTTGTTGATGAAAATCAATAATTTATAAAGTAAAAGAAAATCTAAGTTAAATGAGCTTATAAAACTAAGGGAAGATATTACTTTCTTAAAAATGACATTGTGTGTAGTTACATTAAGGAAGAATTATAGTTTTTGGGGTTTGTATGAAGAAACATGCAAGGTGCACCAATGTTTGGTTTATTGCCTGTGGATGAAGCGCAGAAACATGAACTATGGATTCAAGCGTTCATGATTTTGCTGCTACCCACATATGGTTAGCTGAGGCTCAGGGTTGAGCCATGCTGCCTGAAAATCTTGCACAGAATGCATTAATAAGTCATATTAAAGCTGAAACAAAAGTTGCCAGTAGTGGCACGATAAAGGAGGAGCCTCAGGTTGAACCTTATGACAGCATTTCAAATAAATTCATAAAAGCTTTCAGAAGAATCAAAAGCAAAAGGGGTTCTTCTATGACAAGTTCCTCCTCAAGCAGTAAAGCTTCAGCACTGGCTGAATAAATAAAGGCAGAAGCAGAAAGGGCTGCACTGTTGGCTTGTGCAACAGCTCTAAAGGAAAAACATGCACTGGAGAAACAGGAGCATATGTTAAAGAAAAAAGGAAACAACTTGAGATGGACACTAAAATAACTGCTGCTAATGCCAAGCTAGTGGTACTAGAGGGAAGTAGAAAAGGCAGCATCACATCTAAGTACTCTGATGGGATGGATTCATATTTTAAAAACAGCACTAGACGCAAGGTCAAGCCTTCTGTCCTCCTTTCACAAGCTACACAGTGGTTAGCTTGGAACCCTGAGGTTCTGAGTTCAAGCCCCACTCCCACAGACTGCCACTCTGGGTCCGGGCACCCCACAATGGCAGCCCACTGTCCCTCAAGGGGATGGGTTAAATGCAGAGGTAAATTTCTCCAATGTGAGATCAATAAAGTTCAATTATCCAATTAATTCTTATTACACAGCCTGCAACCAGGAAATTACAGAAGCTTCATGAAGATGCTTGAACACTGGTGGAAAAAGAAGTTGTATGAGATCTAAAAACAGCCCATGAAAGCCTTGTAACAGGTCAGGTAGAAGACACTGTTTGAAGCCCTTTGTGTCACAAGAGCCCCCCTGCTCTAAATCTTCAATTTTACCAGAAACCAATGTCATGGATAAGCAGAAGATGGATGGATGGACAGATGAAGCAATGTCATGATTTATACAGGAGGTCACAAACAAGCAGACTCCTGTCTGGGTCCAGATCTGTGTAGCTTTTACCCGGACCTCAGGACATTTTATGTGCTAACATGAATTTATTGTAGTTTTGCTTAAATTAGAATTTTCATCAGGCTTTGACAGCCGAGCTTCCAGCGCTATCTCAATTTTAATTTAGAGTTGTAAACTTGACCAGATCAGCTATGCCTTTGATTTTTCAATTCAATTTATTTATATAGCGCAAATTCCCAACACATGTCATCTCAAGGCACTTCACAGAACCAGATCATACAGTTAATTTGATTCACTTTTCTATCCACAGAAAACCAGTTGATTGCATCGACTTACGTATTCACTCGAAGGCAATCCCTCAAACTAAGCATGCTTGTTGTGACGGTTAAGAGGAAAAACTCCCTTTAAACAGGAAGAAACCTCCAACAGAACCAGGCTCATTGTGAGCGGCCATCTGCCGAGGCCGACTGGGGTTCATCGAGACAGAAGCAGAGATACAAAAAGCAACTGTAAAAGGCGGCCCCATCCAGCAAACACACAGCCAGGCAGACGAGCTCCGAGCCAACTCCCATGTCAGAGGACGAAGAGAGCACATCCAGCCGGTCACAGTCAGAGAAACAGGACTAAACTGAAAAACAGGCCCATCTCGAACATCTATCTATAAACAAAGTTGTTGATAGCAGCAGCACAGCTGATATTTCTCTCCAGAATGGTGTCACAGCCAAACAGGAACAGATGATCAGCCAACTTCCTGCCCTAATGAGCAACTCTGCTTCAGATGGACATGCATTTGAAATAGTAAACTGCAAAAGTAGAACAGTTGCCTATTTTAGAGAAGCAGCCAGCGGAGGAAGCTTTTGGAATGCTTAAGAAAACACGCTGCAGCACTTACAGTGGAACCACTCCAATTGGCTAGAATAGAGCCACATCATGGCGTCATTTCGGCTTCTGGTGGAAACAAAGGGTTAGAAGCAAAGGGGATGTTTAATCATATATCTAAGTACAGTATACACCTGTTAATTTTGTATACCTACAGGTCCGTGCAGAGTTAATGGTTTGAGCTTGAGTTAATCCAGACAAACTACTGTATGAGGCATGCACACACCGATATCTAAGGGCAATTTAGAAAGACCAATGAAGTTTACAGTCTCTAACCTTTACCTCTAGATATCCCATACATGCTCAGGAAGAAAAGGAAAATTTAATAAAGATAGACTCCAAGCCAACATACAAATCCAGGACCTTTTTCCTGCAAGGTAACATTGACAACAACAGACTCAAATACAGCCCTTAATTAAAGCTAGGATAAGCTGAATTAGTTTAATCTTATAATAGCAAAGCATAATTACAATGAGAAATAATATATAGAGATTTGCACATCTCTTGTTCCTTAACATCTTGTAAACTGGCAAGTAAAATGAAAAAGTTCAGTGGAAGAAAAGAAAAATAATTAAAAACAACAAAACCTGCCATTGATCGCTTTTCAGTTCTTGCTACAAATCAAAGGCAAATGAAATGTTCTTTTCTTCAACCTAATTTTGGATTCTGCTGTTGTGACTGGAGGTAACAATAAAATAGTGAGACATTGGGCAGCTTTTCAGATGAAATGTGTTATTGAAAAACACAAAACTAAAACCCAGTGTATCTGGAGCCATCTAAAGCTCTGCAGGATTTTATGAACTGTGGCCACTTTTTCTAAAGCCGTCTGTCTTTTTTGTCTGGCTGTATGAATCAGGAAATAGGAGAGGTTATTTGCTGAGCACTTGCATTGACGGAAACTTTTTTAATGACCAGCGAATATTCAGTTTACAATAAAGTCTTTCAGTAAAATGTATATATATTTTTGAAGGATATATATATATATATATATATATATATATAT